AATTTTATTTTTTATTTTATATACACTGAGAGAAATGTTTTGTTGAAACAACCAAAATTTTGTTACAGTAACAAAATTTTGGTTGTTTCAACAAAACATTCTTCAACATTTCTCTCAGTGTACTAAGTGGTAGATTCCGGTTCATTTCTAGCTGATAATTTTGTGCCCTAAATTGTTGGAAATTGTTCTGGTCCAGCTAGATGTCAGCGAATTTCAGATTATTCGACGTATGTACACAGTATATCAACTACTACTTAGAAAGTTCCGTCGAGGAGCTTGCGTCCCGCGTTTACTCTGCTAAGATCGCATATCCATCTACTGACACGGATATCCAGCTGTTTTCGCCGTGCGAAGAAGTCACGCGAGTCGAGCGAATCTTAGAAGGTCTCATCTAATCAGTGATCGCGCAGTGTGTGTGTATACTGTGTATTTACTTAGAAAACGTCGATAGATCAGTTTTCACTTCGTTTGAGAAAAACTAAGGAAAGTACTTTCGATTCATCAAATTTTGTCAAAGATCCATCAAAGAGGATCTGTTAGAATAAAAATACATCTCGCAGGAGCAAGCTCGGGTCCGCCCATCGGGTGAAAAAGAATTTTCAATTAACACTCGGTAGGTTCCCAGGTTACTCGAGCGCCTGTCGAGAAACCGTCAGATGTTGCGTAACGAAAGAGGAAAAGAACGCTGAAAAGCTTAGCTTAACGTAGATGAAGCGCAACTACTTTATCGCAACACACTCATTCGTGAAAAGCTTCTCCAGTTAAAGAGTTATTCGCGAAATTTACGTCGGTTCGATGAAATGTAACACTGCTTGAATTCGGACAATCTACTTTGCACTGCGATTATTAGATTAAATTGAAAACGATTGATATTACAATAGCATCTGCGTTGCAATAACAAACATTAAGATTTTTGATTTAACAAACGTTTCCAACAATATAAGAATATGTAATATTATTATAAAATTATTACATGGATTTTTATATTTTTGTCATAATTGCAATTTATTCTTTAATAATAATCATTTGTAATGAACGTCTCAATTGCTCTACACTAAAGTCGATTATTACGGTTTTTACAAGCAATTATACCGAGTTCAAGCGATAGAAATAACTTCGTACACAAGAAAACACTCTTGCCGTTTATAATTTTCATCTTTTTTTTATCGCGCTTGCGCTATCTCGTTCACGCCTAGGTATGGATGGTGGTTGCTGTTTGTACGTAAATCATTTCTCCGTCCTTCTTTTTCGCTGTTGTTACGAGAGTAAAACCATTTTCTTCCGTGTTCTTTTTACTGAATTCCCCGTATACTCGGCTATACTTCCACATTTTTCTCTCCCTCGCGTACGCGCTTCTTTGTTTGTGGCTTCGAGACGTGCGTTTTCTTCGATATTCTTCCTCGTCGATCGCGCTAACAATAAGTCCTATGTATGATTCATGCTTAAGACCTTTTCCGCGAGTTGTGGCTTGATTAAACGAAATCACGAGAAATTTACGGTCTCCCATAAAAATTTCGGGCTTGTTGAAATTCGCGTGAGAGACACTATTCAAGGAGCAGGAAGTCGTAGTCTGAAAACGGCAATGAAATTACCGTGCTCCGGATTATATCTACGTTCTTTAATCTGCTAGATTGGAAGATACTGAGAATGGTTGGGAGTGTACACTCATAAAGGAAAAGCTGTGCCACAACAACGGAGTTGTATCGCAACCTGTTCGTATCCTTATTCCAATTAACCGCCACATAAATTCTACAACCTCTTAACAATGTTGCGCTGCTGCGAACAAAGAAGATAGCCAGATCGCTTTCCAGCAATAGGAAATGTTACTTGAACTGTTCAGTGTAATCTTCTAACTCCTTTTATGTAATCTTTTGAAGTCACAAAATAATTGTTACAATTTTCTACCGAATTACTCGAGGAATTACTTCAATCCTAAACTTAATTATTAGCTTATTAATTTGTTTTCTTATATTTGATATAAATCAAGAGTACTCTGACTCTTATTTCTTACCAAGAATTCAGCTGTTCAATGTTAATATAGAAATTTCAAAACAGTGTTAGTAACCTAAGGACCTATTCACACTGAAGAGAAGATATCTTCTTCCATCACAGTATCAAAGCGAACGAAGATTTCAAGAAAATCTTTCTTGATTCTTATATTCTTCGTGCTGCGAAAGTGGTCAGATTGTTATGGAACGTTGCATTAGTTGCGAGTTTTGCAACTGCAATTATACACAAAACGTACGCGACTTTCGTTTCGACCGCGTATTATACACTTCCGCAATAAAACTCCTTGAAGAGCTACCGGATAGTCGTCATTATTGTCAAGGTTTTAAGAAGTACAATGGTCGAGGGATAGTTTCGTGGTGAGGAAGACGTGCCAAGGACTAAAGTGACCAACGCAAGGAACGTAAGGTTAAGGAACAACTCTCGATGGCACATGGTTTCCGTCGTGGCCGCGACCACGCGACAAGTCTTTTCCATCCCCGCGAGAGTCTTATTTTGTCGCGGACGGTTAAGTCACGTCCGTGCATGCGACAGCTATAAATACTATTAATTGAGGCCATTAATTGAACGAAAAGGAGAAAATAATGCGCCGTGACGGGAACCACCGAAACTACGTTTTCCTTATATTTCACTTGATTCTGGAACCATACACGACCATTGTATCTATCCGGCTGCTGTGGTCGAGCTTGCGAGTCCCGACGTTACCAAGGAAATAGAATGGCTGCAATTAATCTCGCCCGGTACAATCGGACCAAGAAGGTGCGCCCTACGTTTATTACTGCAATATCTCTCGCGCTGATGACGTTCGCCGCTCGAGTGCACGTTCGTCACGTAACGTATCCGCCGTATAACGTCGTTACACACTCGTTGTACAGCTTGTTTGTAATATATTGCCGACGATTTCTTGGTCTAATTTTGATTAGCCGATAGCAACGTGAATCTAATAGAGATGACTACAAACGTCAATGTATATTTATATCGTAAAACGTTTTTAAAATAATAGAGAAAGAACCTATAATTTTTTACGAGTATTTCTTAATCTTTTTATGTTCACAAATAACTATATTTATTGCCAGAAATATTGCATAAGTTAGTATATAACATGTAAGAAGAAGATGAGGATCATACTAGTATACATGTATATTAACAATATTATATTATATATTGTTAAAATTATTGCTATATATATATTAGCACGGCTCTTGTATCATTGAAGAAAAATAGTCGTTGAATCCGGAACTTCCGTTTATTTCAATCTCGCTTCATTACACGTGTACGCGTAAGAAATACGGCTTTTCAGTTTTCGGTGAAATTTCCGGCGGAATTCGAGCGTGCGGACGGTGCACAGAAACACATCGGGTAACTGCCGCTTGAGAGTTTCAAGTACTTCTGCAAGCAAGAAAGATATCTGTTCTAGCTCGCGTAGCAGGTGAAGGCGAAATAAGATCGAGGAAGGGGGTGGGGTGCGCCCAGCAACAGCTGTTAGAAAACTTTACAGACCTTTGGGGTAAATAATCTCGAAATGGCGAGGCACTCGCTGGAAAGAGAGCGAGAGAGAGAGAGAGAGAGAGAGAGAGAGAGAGAGAGAGAGAGAGAGGCTCTCGTTTCTCAGAACTGTCGAGTTATGATAATTCTTGCAGTTCGCTCGGTCGCGCGAATACAAGGAGACACGATGACAGAACCATTAGGAAATTTAGAAGTAGGTACTAGCAAATTTCACACTTTAATAGAGGATGATATTTATAAAACCATCAAGAACGCTCCAATTTCCCTATAAAGTATTGATATAAATTGTCTATTGAAATATGAGATAAATAATACCTACACATATGTATTGCTATTAATTTCTATAATTAATAATTATTTTGATATGCAAGGATAAGTAACAGACTTTTGTTACTATAGATGAAGGAATGTTATCAATTTATTATAACATTTCTCGCGTACACTTATCAACGTTGTCGCGAAAAAATTATTTTCATCTACACTTAATAGTTGCAGAGATTTTTGCGAAACGGTTCTACAGAAATAAGAAACGTTGGAGGAATTTACAAAGGGATCTTTGATGTTCTCTCCCTTGAATGTGCTATTCTATCGTTCCAGGCACGCCGGCATAACTCACTTTTGCAGAGAAGCAATCACATACATATTTACTCGGATATATACATCTTATTCATACCTGTTAGAGTTAAATTGAATATGTACACCCACCACGTTCTCTTTTCGCTTTACGATTTCTCATTCTTTCCTGTGCTATTTTTTCCCGTTATTTCATTCTTTTCATCCACTATCCTACTACCTGCGACTTCTTTTTTAACTTCTCAACCTTTCAGCGCCGGGCCTCTCGAGAAACTTCGTTTCACGGAATAGACGTTGCCTATTATTATTATGAAAGCACAATTCCACCCTCCACATCCAATTATATCTCGTGAAACTAATCCGCAACTTTCTTTGCTAAATTTCACGTAATAAAATTTTGAAAGCATAATTCGACTCAAACTCCCACGCTACTGGTCACGCGAACGAAATTTTGCTGACAAGGAGGAGCGGAAAAAATGGGATGACGTACGTAACGTAGTGATGAGAATATCTCACCGTGAGATAGACGTTACTATTCTGATTGTATTACTACGGAAATGATAAAAGAATTTAAAATTTGCATGAGTTTAAAAATAACTGAAAGCTCTCAAGCAAATTATGCGGCAGCTTTTAATGTATAGTGGATAATATAAATTTTACAACATCATGTCTGGTTTAATACATGGTTTAATACGGATGAAATACAATGAAGGAAGAAGAGAAAATAAGTTATGACAGGAAAGAAATCTCTTTTATTATTTACAAAATACAATTTCATTTTTGTGCATGTGTCTAACAGTAATAATTTATTACATATGAAATAATATCTTTTTGCTGAAAGTGCGAACAATCATCACAAATTAAAAATATCTAATTGTGCATAAGTAGCAAAAAATAGGATTTTTATACGCATTTTATTGTTCTAAACTATCGTTACTTAAAGTATTATCGCATCTTATCTTCGCATTCGGCCTTGAAGCAAGGCGATTCCCATATACCGCGTTATTGCATATACCGAGCAGCTTTCGCGAGAATTTTGCGCATTCCTATTCTCAAGAGGAAACATACAAAATCTGCAAATAATATTCCTTGTTTTTCCTGTATCCCTTTCGATAGGTGGAATGAATGCAAGTCAGCACGGCGATATTGCATATATAGAGAGAACGTGCTGGAAATATATCTTCGTTGATACTGCCGCGCCTAGAAACTTTCACCCAAACGGCATTTCCTCATGTAGGCGTCTCGTGCAATTCTCACGAATATTTGCAAAGCGTTACGTACGGTTCCAGCCGAGTATGCTTCCAAAATTGACCTCGTGAATGGTCGAGGTATTTTCCTTACACCAGAAAAGACTTCGCGCTAGAATGACTTATAATAGAGTAAATATTGTATTATTAATATTATTAACATATACATATATATGTATATACTACTAATATAAAATCTAATATACTTTAATCTTATATGCTATTCGATTGAATAAGGCTACACCTGACGAAAATGTAAGAAATAAAATTAAAATTTGAAGTGTAAATTTAATTTAATGTAAATCTATGTATATAATGTAATTACGTAAACGTGATTATTAATTATAAAAGTATCTGTTCTCAGAGAGTATAGATGTTTCAAAGATATGTTGTTTCTTTTATATAAATTTTTGCAAAAAAGCCTTTTTGTGTACAAAAAAAAAACATTATAATTGTTACTTAACTTTATACGCGTGACAACAATGTACGTGACGCAATATACGCGACGACAAGTATCACGGGCACGGATAAGAAGAACAGATAAATCATTCTTATGCTTTTAATATTGTCTTCGTTCACGCAGTACTTCCGGGTGGCAGCTGCGGCGCAGAGGACATAACTTTCAATGTCGATCTCCGGAACGATCGGAAATACATCCTGCTCCTCCTTCGTGAGACGTTCCTGCAGCAGGTACACGCGATTCCTTTCCGCTGGCCACGGCCTCGTTGAAATTGACTTCAAAGGTTGAAGTGCATTACGAACTCTGTCGTACTCCGCGAGAATCCTGGGGAGCAGTAAAGGTTTTACCTTCAGAACCGATCATTTCTTTTTACCTCCTTCCTGCCATTAATGGCCGTCTTGCCCGATCTTTTTGGCACTCGAACTCTTAACGATTTCGACTATTCCCATCTTTTTTTTTATTCTTTCTGTAGGATAGAGATCTTTTTCCAAATATTTAGACGAAATCGTAGTTTTCCTCGAATATGTATGGACGCGTATATGCGATAGAATGAATGAAACGTTCTTGAGATTGATTTTTAAATAGCCATTTCAATCATAGTTGAGAAAAAAGATCGCAAAGTACCATTAAGTGTGCGAGCAGGGTAATAAAAAAACTTTCTCCGTCCGTCGCAAACTATATAATTTCCAATCCAACTTATTACGAAGGAAATCGCGGAAAACTTGACGGGGGAGTTTCCTTTCAAGAAGGAAGAAAGCTCGAGCTAAGTTAGCGCGCAAGATTTACTCTGCACGCGTCTGAGAGCAAACGAAAAAATCTGAAAAGTATTTGACAGGACGAATGCCGAAAGCGAAAATATTTTCGTTCACAACTTGATCCGTGAAACGAATCGGTTTCTATAATCTTATTTTTCTTGTCCTTCCCTTTCCTTCTTATCGCGCATGGAAATGTATAAATAATATCAATTATTTATTTGATATTTTAATACTCTACTAAAAAAAATTTTTTTTTGAGAAGGTTTGTTAAAAAGTTAATAGTCATTCGAATGAAAAATTCGTTGAATCGCTGGTTTCTTGTTGTAATAAGTCGATACACCCTCTCAGAACATAAAAACGATAGCTTACGATAGCCCGTCAAGATTTCCCGAAAGTTTTTTTTTGTTGTGATCACGACAGACCTCACTTCTCAAAGCAATCAGATATCGGTGGCGCAATTTCTGCAACCGTAGAAACGAGTTTTTCCGTTCGAAGACGCAATTTTCCTTCTCGCAATGTTCACGCACGCAAGCGAAAGTCTGTTTACATCACTCTTGCGCCTAAATCGCAGTTCCAGATAACTTTTACTTTTACGATTTGCGGCGCGCGTTAACCGAGTGCTCCGCTGCAGGCCTTTCACGACGCCGGAAAGTTGAAGAGGCCGAGTGTAAGCGTTTGCGATCAGGCGATCACGATCAAACTTTCGCGTGAAGTCTCGTCGAAACTTGCTCGCGAGAGTTAGTTATCGGTAAAATTCGAAGCTTCATATATGAACGGTTTTAATCTTTTCTTAATGTTCGCGTATGCAACGAAGGATTATCTTTGAGGTGCATCGAAGTTTAATACTAAACGATTACATCCCGCGATCCTTAGAATTTATAATCATCGTGTCATATTATTTAAGCGATAAAACGTACAGAAATTACAGACACTATGTGCATGAATTTTGCTATTGTTAAATTTTAAATTGTTAAATAATAACCTCGTGCCTTGTGTAATATTTTACGCAAACGGAAATAATTGCGTTAAAGAAAATTGACGGTTTCATAATTTAGTTAGAAAGTTACGTAGAATTTCTATCTTAATTTTTAAGCTGCATATTTTAACGCAACGTATAAACTATTTATAACTTATAAATTGAACCGTAATATCAACTAGTAAAGCGTTACGCTCTTAGAAAATGACTTAGTACCTTTAATAGTGTTGCGTTCTCTGAACAAGTTAATATCGCGAGCAAATTTAATATTGCCAGCTGTTGCAGAAGAGCGTTGCGAAACCAACTTTAAACTTAGACAATACTCCGGTACAAGCAGCTTATCCGTGATCTCTCGATCAAGTATCTAATATAAAGAGTACGTAATACAAGAGTAAAATGTAACATCTATTTCAGCGATAGCTCCCCCTAGCAATTTAAATGTGTCCTATTTACATAAAATATCAATAAATTATGAAATGGTGATTAAAAGTTAACGGAAAGGAACAACCTCGACACTTTCCAAAGGTATTAAATCATTTTTAAAGCAAAGTTAGTGACGGCGAAAAATGGCTGCGCTGAATTTTCCGTGAGACTAGGAAAGGGCCACGCCAACGAATAAGACGTTGACGAAGCTGTGACGATAAATTCGTGACTCGTGAAATTTCACGATAAATTTCGCGTCCGTATCGTACCTCTGTTTTCTGCCGATTAGACCGAAGACAATGTCGCAGAGTAAGGATGGCAGCCATTCGAGGAGCAGCACCAAAATCCAGTACAGCGGTTCAAAGGACGTCATTCCGCGGATACCGAAGGTTGGATAGGGAAATGTGCAGCCAGCCCGTTGACTCTTTTTAATCAGATTGTCCCACGTGCAGCCCAGCAGTGCCGCATTATAGACCACCGGTTTCGTAGCGTTGGTTCTGCGCGAAAATACGAGAAAATGCATGAGATAGAAAAAGAGAACACATCCATTCACCGCACATTTGATGATTATTTATTTAGCATCATGCGATAATTAATTAACTGTTCTATGAAATATTTTGAGTACTTTGTTTCATTTAAAATCATGTTTTATTTAATAATTTGTGCGAATATGTACGTATATACATCTGCATTAACACTTAACACGTAAATTTTACAAGTTTTGAATGTTATTATGATTTTATTTTTTTAATTATAATTTATTTTATTATAATCAGATGACGAAAGATTGTATCACATTACAAAATTTGCTTAAATGTTAATTTTTTTGCACATGTAAAGGAAAGATAACTCAAACATTGTTAGACAGTTTATCCAGGTAATAGCTTAAGGTTATAACGTACTCCTAATTTCTTTGTTAAAACTTACGTAAAGTTACTTTTAACAATTATCAATAATTAAAAGTATTTCTAATTAGTAATTCCTCTCAAATACGATAATAATCGGTAAAAGCGAAAGGAGAAGGCACAAGAAACAGATATAGCGTGCTTTGCTTCTTGCAAGGCGAATGCAATCAACTTATTCGCAGTTCAGTCGTTCGGAAATACTTCAGAGCGAAGCGAAGAGATGCTTCTGGTTGAAACTAGAATCAAACGTAAGCTCTCTGGGTTTTCTAGGAAAAGCCCGGAAAAGCCTAGCTATAAGTTTCATTCGATTGGCCCGTTGTTGGCTGACTTAAATAAAGCTTGCGATTTAAAAAGTCCGACTTGATTCTCGTTGTGCGTATCGTCTAATTAAAACCTTAAAGCGGATAGAAACGGAAGTTTCGTAAAGGGTATCATTAGCTGGGGATTTAAATTAGTTTTCTTATGATCTGATACGCGCGTCGATGTTCTCATTACAATATTATTTTAGATCTCAGATCTTTTTTACGCTCTGCGTGACATGCACTTTCGTCAATGCCTCTTACACGTGAAAATCAGAAAGCACCACCTGTATTTTCGACTATTTCGTTTGATAAACTGATTTAATACAACTTAACTAACTGTTCCTGTTATGAGCATGGGATACAATTTAATTTAACAATTTAACTATCGATTTCAATTATCGTCTCATACACAATATTCGATAATCGCTTTCTTTGTTGTACACAAATCGCCCAGCCGTTATACTCCCTATAAGAATCGAAATTGTACTCACATCGAAAAGATATATTTTTTTTTAAATTAACAAGAAATGCAAAAGTTCTTAGCCGATACTGCCTAAAACTCAATAGCAAGTTTGTCGCGGTCCTTGATTTAAATTAATACTTCTTTAGGAGTATATTGTGCATGATTTTAATACAATGCCACACTACAATCATGTACGTCTGAAATTTTAAAAGTATTAGCAACAGCAAGAATTAATTAAAAATTAGTTGGAAATTGAAACGAGTAATTTTACATATTTAGATAACGTTACAAGTCTGTAACGTTACAAGTCATGAACTGATATTAAAATAATGAATAATAAAAATTTGATAGATATCTCCAATAAGAATATTTTATATTTTTAATATAGACAATATATTGTTGAATGCAAGAATTAGTCTTTCAAATTTTGGTTATTCAAGAGGACTAGCAGTTTTGTTCTGTCGATACAGTGAATGCCAATTTACAATACCTACTGACAGTCTGTACTGATTGACAGTCATATTACACATAGGTAACTGCGTTAGAGAAGTTGTCGAAATATTTGTTAGCTTTTTCAACACAAAGAATTTATGATTTCGTCAAGACGGGAGTAATCATGCTTTCAGCGGATTGAGGGGTGAATCTCAAACAAAAATCGAAAAGAACGAAATTCCGCTTTAGACAATTGGAGCGGAAGCGTAGAATGCGAGCAAACAGTAACAACCACGGAAACCGCGCGCACATGTAAAACGTGTTTGTCCGTATCCAATATTTCGCATTGGAAAACTAGATAAGCCGCGTCTGCAACGAATTCCGATTGCGATATGTTAAAACCTGCAACGGATAGAGAGAAAGATTTTATCCTTTTTTTAAATTAATGATTTAAATTTTTTTAATCAAACAAATTTTGTTTTTCACAGATCCGTTAATCGATAAGTAATTAAATTTACGTGGGATTTTCCACGGATTTTCACGTTTTTTCCCCCTCGAATGGATTGCCACCTTGGAGTGGTAGAGGGGTTTACGGTCGCACTTCAGTTACACTCGTTCAAGAGTGTAACTGAATGTGATCCATCAAGAGGAACCTTTCCGCAAGCCAAAGTGTAAGCTACCGTGTCGACGGCTGGTGGCGCAGAGGGAGCTACCCGAATATCGTTTACTTTCCGGGAGTACGGACCAAGCCCCGGGCATTCGCGGTTCTTGATTCGGTTGACATCGCGCGATCGTGATACTCGTGGGACCAAAAATGTAACCAGATAATAATAATATAAATAATGTAGACAAAGTCCTCCAGGGCGTCTAGCAGAGAGATCCCTGGGAAGCGAACAATCGGAGAAGTTCTCAATTGCGGAGTCGGGTCCGACTAAGACCCGAGCTCATTATAACAGCGCTGCCAGACACCGTTATAAAACGCAGCTGCAGAGAGAGGGAAAAAGTTCAAAGTCCTATCTCTGTGACTGCTTCGAATTCAAAGAATAAGAGAGGAGGAGAGGAGAGAGAGGTGTGATGTGGTCGGCATGCAAAAGCATGTCAGACCGGATTATAGTACTCTCAGTCTGTCGCTCAGTTGCCTGAATAAGAGGCCCAAAATTACTAATCAAAGGTCACGCCCAAATGACTAGAGGCATAATCAGGCCTTTGTTCCTGAGAGCTACCCTGATAAGAAGCTACGTGTTAGTGAGGTAGGAAACTGATCAGGGTGCGTATCATTGAACTTCCCGAGGATATGTTGACTTCCATTTTCATGGGCAGGTGGGGGAGGGATAACACAGTTATCTTTATAAATACTCCAATGAACGATTGGCTAATTAAAAAGCCAATTTGCCGAGATCAAAATCGGGGATACTCCTTTCTATGCGCTGCGGGCTCAGAGTTACTCAAACGTCATCGAGTAGTAGTACACGTGGAAGAACCAGATTTTTCGAGAAAACTACTAAGTTTCTCGACAGACAGGTCTGGCGGCTAGAGTGAGTCATTGTAAGGGAAAATCAAACCAGAGATGCTAAATATACTCATTTTGCCTTGATCGGCGGCCCTTCGTAGAAAGCTCTGCAAGAATTGTAATTTGTAATTTCAAGTCCTGCGGATTAGGTCAGGCAACTGTAAAGTTGCTTTAAAAAAACGTGGAAGATATATGAAGAAAAACATTTGGGATAACAGAGACTCCACGCTCTTTAATTTCTCTGGATTTTGCACTTTATGCTTTTGAAAAGCAGACAGGCAAGATTATCATGCTGACATTAATTATAGTAATATTATTTGTCAGAGAGAGTATAATAGTTATTTATTTACGCTTGAAATCACTTTAATATTTACCTGTAAAAAGATGTTGAGCAATTTTCTCTCAGCACTTCTCGAGAGCTTTATTGAAACACAATAACGATAATTATTTTTCTGAACTGAGTAAAAACTGCTATACATGCTTTGAGAAAAAACGACGAGTTGCACAATATGTGTTTCTGAGAAGAGATAGCTATAATATCATCACTTTGTGATTCATATCTCGTAATTAGATTACTGTTCCGTAACGTTGCATAACACCGTTGCATACACGTGAACGCCTTTAGCACCGGGTTTGACTTTCTCTCACTCTAATTAAACATTAAACGAACGTAATATTTAAGAGCAACTTGATATTCCTTACGTAAATATATTGTAAAGGTATATTGATAAATGGTTTTCTGTGTAGAAATTTAATTATTACAATGAGATGAGTTATGGCGTGTTAAGTTTGATTAATGCGAACACAGCCATAAAATTTCACAGCAACAAGAATTAAAAGCGCTTTAAATTCGAGCTGCTGGATTAAATTATCCCTGGACCATCAAATATCCTTGTTATTCTTATTAATGAATAAAAACTTTTATAAATATAATGCAAAGTAAATAATATAGATTTTGCGTTTTATACGTACATGCCAATTTCCCACGCGGCCGCGATCATCGTGTTTACCGCTGTGTCTAGCGGGGTGACTTCGGCCGGCAATTCCGAATTGCCGAGCGCGAAGCCCGCGCCGATCATGAGGGCGGTGGGTGCTTTGAGGGTCTCAACGAAACCGGGCATAGGTTCCTTGTAAGCCGGGCCGATGCAAGGAAAACGCACCAGAGCGATAGGTAACTCGGGAATCTTTTCATTCTGTAGACACTCTTCTATCTTGCCGCGATGCTTGAAAATGGTGGACGCCACAGCGACGCTCTTGAGCTTCGGCAAATCCTGACAATATTCCAGGAAGAAGTCGTGCGGCCCGGCGGCATGGAAGGCCACGGTGACCTCTCTCAACGCGGCTTTGTCTTCAGTGCTTAGGGCAAGATCCTCGTAAAGCAGATTCCCCTCGAACGTTTTCACGCGTGAGATCGCGCCCGGCATCTCCTGCCTCAGTCGTTCGTACCTGCCGGGTGATAATAACGTTGGTGACGTAAATCGGCTTTGGAATTTACTCTCAGGAGGTTTCATCAAAATGGAGATGCGCCGCGGCAGGAAAAGATTGCGCGAAACGGACGTCGTTAAAAAAAATGTCAAAGAATTGCCGAATAATGCACAAATTTAAATTACGCGACGCAAAGTCCCATCCCTGAGCTCATAGCCAGAATGACTATCAGAGACACCCAGAAATTAAGATGCACAGTGCAAAACTAACGAAAGTAATTAATATTAATCACTGCGAAGAGAGAGTAACACGAATTTTATTCTATTACAGAGATGTACGTAACAATTATTAAAATCTTTTCCGATTCTATGCACTTGCTGTGCTTTAGAAAAATAAAAATAAGAGCACAGCGCGCACATTTTGTCATTTCGAGTCTTGCTTAGAGATTTAGACAATTAACACCATGACTATGCGGAACAATTTAGGGGAGGGGTCGCAAATAGAGCGAGGAAAATTGAACAAGCCGCCACATTCGAGAGCGATTTCGCCGAACGTAATAGCGTTGAAGCGGTTGCACCTTGAACGCTCGAGCTGCTCATCCATTTGCATTTTCTCATTTACGCGCGGGGCGATCCTCTTTTTCAAGCGGAAAAACGCAGCGATCCGGCGGTAACTACGATTTCCCGGGGGAAGACAATCCTTTCGCGGATTTTAATTTTGCGAAATTCAAAACGCGCGGACGAATTTTCCGCGCGGTCGCGGATTTTGCAAGGACGAGGAAGAGAGAGAGAGAGAGAAAGAGAGAGGAAGAAAAAGCACCCCGGGCCGCGTATACTTCATAATCTTTCTAAAGGGGGCACGGAGGCGTGTGCTAATGAAAATAAATCTCTCTCTACGAGCTTTAGCCGTACTCTCTCCGAAAAGGAAAAGGACCATCGCGCGATGCAACGGCGCTGAGTTTCATCTCGCGAGCATCTTTGCTATTCGGACGATCATTGAGACGAGCACGGGATTTAACGAGGCAATCGGGTTTGCGCGACTAAATACGTGCCTAAACACGTGCGTTTGATCGTATCTAGCTTTCTCACTCTGAATTCTCTTGTTATTACTGTGCGATTTCGGACGGGCGATCGCCGGGCGTATCGAGTGCTGCTATCATTTCAATCGACATCGTTCGCGGTAAGTTTCCAATTGTCGAAATTGCAAAACTGTATATAAGGAAAGATTCGACAAATTGTAAAAGAGATCGAATCAAAAGGTTCTAAATTACTTTATTTATATTTTCGGATCTTAACTAACATGTCAAATGTTGGATGGAGAAGTAAGATGTTACAAACAATAATTAACATAATATTGATGTAGAATTAAATTCATATTGAGTAATACATGGAATCAATAAATCAAGAGGAAAATTTCTGTGCTGTGCAATATCACAGTTTTTTATGAAAGAGTAATAAAAGTGATAACAACTTTATTTCGAAAAAATTTTTGGAATGTGTCGTTCTTCCCGTCACTGCGCGTGACTGCTCGCGAAACGAAAATCTAATTTCGCAATCGATTCCCAACGTAAGGTGGGGATCCTTCCACGTTCTCGGAATTCCCGCGGAAAACCACTAGGCGTGAAAAGAGAAAGAGAGAGAGAGAGAGAGAGAGAGAGAGAGAGAGAGAGAGAGAGAGAAAGGTGTCTTTTTCAGTTCGATGTCCTCTGGAATAAATTCGGCGCACGCGAGCACCCCGACCGGAATCGCGATCACAATTTAACGCTCACAAAGACGATATCGAGCGACCGGCGCGATTTACAGGCACAAGATGAACGCGAGGAAGATACCGCTCGTACCCAGGCGACGCGAATATCTTCTTTAGCCGTTCCTCGGCGTTGAGACCATTTTGGGATCTGAGAACGACATACACCCTGACGCCCGGTAAGCACCGTAGGATCTTCTCCAACAGAACGCGTCCCAATTCGCTGTTGACTCCCGTGAGGAGCACCACGCGGTTCGCGTACCACTCGCGCAGAGACATTCTCGATGACTGGGGCCTGCTTGAAAAGTGAACCGCAGTGAACGGCGCGAGGTGTCCGTTTCCACTTGGTGATAGTACCTGGTGGAATATTACTTACGAGAAAGGAAAAGAGACATTTGCATTCTGGCTTAATGCAACGATCAACGTGCAAAATTTCGAGATTATGACAAACATTATTAGCCTTACGCATAATTTGCAATAAAATGCAATATTATATATATACATACATATATTAAATAATAGCGTACCAAACAATATAAAAGAAAGATGTCTAATAAATGTAAAAGAAATATATGTAAATAAAAATTTAGAATGTTTTTTTAAAACGCGTTTAATATGCTTTTCAAATATTTGCGAAATTATTCGGTTTTCTCACGCAATAATACATGTGCTAAAATGAAGTTTGTGTACACTGTATGTACACACACATGTGGGCTACTTTCTAAATGCATTTTTGTTACCGTAAGCATTTTTTTAGCATTATAAGTGGTTTCGATTAAACGTTCCTGACTAACGTGTGCATATTGTTTCACAAGACTAATATTAAAGATTGTATATACGTTTTGTTAAATTATTATTTTATATAATTTAGATTATTTTCTGTAGACTCATACAAATATTGGTTCTTTTGAAATTATTTGCACATTACAGAATAATATACAAACATCAAGCTTTAATGAAATAAATATTTAAAATTATACATTAGGAAATAAATTTGGAAATAGTATGACAATTAGACTGTGGACCACATAATCGATCCGTTTTGATGAGACCTTGTCTCCATTGTTGCAAGTGTCGAATGATCAACCGGGACAAAGGAATTGAATTGGCAAGGAATTGGTAGTGCAAGGAGCCCCATCGATGTCACTGGTATTTCGATGTAAATGAGAGAGACGTTTATGGTAGCTACGTTTACCAAGATTGCCAGTTACGTGGGCTTTACATTACCATAAAATCCGTAGCTTCGAATACGGTCGAGTACTTCATTGCGTTTAGATCAAGCATCACGTGTACCTCTGATTTACGAGCAAATAAATTAATGAATAAAAACGCCCGTAATTTTTTATCACATTGTTGATTTATAATTTAGGTTTGTAGCGAAAACTGGTATCATATTTGTCTGATATCCAAAGGAAGTTAATATATCTCCATTAGTGATTTAATGAGATCTGTTATTTTTTATAAATGGGTATTTTTAGAACGCATGCATCAAATTTAAATATTTGTGTATTTATGACTTTTCGTTATGACTAATTTAAAACGAAAATTACAACTGTGCTCTAAAGAATATAGACAGATTTAGATTTAGATTCTAGATATTGATATTTTGTTCTGTACATGCCTATCTAAACAAAGGTGTTCTCACGACGTCGATAGCGAAATGACGCGCTACCCCACAGATGCAATTTCAGGCCCGAAATTGATGTTAGGACGGTCAATTGGCACAAATAGATATGGCGCGGGAAATATTCGGATTTTGGATGTGTCCGGCTATTCGACGCGCAATTTCCCTGTAACACCGCGCGCCGCGCCCGGCCTCGTTTTTCCCCGCCGCGGTATTTCCATGTATGAATATGTGCATTTTTTTTGTTCCGGTGCATGTTTCGTTTCATACATGCCCGTCCACGCGCGCCTGTTGTTTTCAATGCCCAGGCCCGACAAATCGCGCCCGATGGTTCGCTGTTTACGAATAAAAAATCAAGCCAATTTGAAGCAAACCGTGGTTTTACACACGGATGAAAATCCGCGAGCTTTCCAGCGATGGCCGAGCGTCATAAAAGCCGGTCAATAACGATAATATGTGTAATGATACCATGCATGCAAAGCGCACCAGCGCTGCCTCACAGTTTAATTACTTTTTCTGATGAGCCTTGCTGGTCGTCCGATGTATTATTTGTACCAGAATTTCTTTCGGTATCATACATCTCGTTAGTATACGTAATAATAATAATATGTGCTAATAACTAATGAAATATATACATCGATATATAATATTTTGACATGATGTTAATGATTTAATGATAAAGAAATTGATAACATATCTTCATCCGTATTATTTTTCTCTCATCTATCTTTAATGTGGAGGTTTACATTGATATTTTTTTTAAATTTTAAGATAAGATACATAAGCCGACAGATTTTAATAATGCATACACACAAAGCGAGAACAATGCTGAGAGCATTTCGGCAATCTTTCGAAAGTGTAGTTTAGATTTATGTAATTAACGTTTAAATTAGAAACTGCATAAGTGCTGTGTGTGTGCATTATAGTTGTAAAGTGTGGCTGAAAGTATACGACCATAATATCAGTCGCGTGAGTGCATGAAGATAGAACCGGTTTGGCGTGGCGTTGCATAACAAGGATTGAGATCGCATGAAAGTACGATATCGCGATTCTTAGAATCAGTGGCCGAGTTACGTAGCCTCGACGATTGTTTGTTTTTATTTCGTGTCGGCGTATTTTGCCTCGCGAGATAAGCAACAAAAAGAAAAGGAAAACCACAATTGATAGCACCGTTAACTGCTTCCTTTCCACCTATTTCTCGGCTACATTTCAATTTCTTATTTATTTAGTCTGCAGGGATGACTGAATCCGCACAGTCATTTGGGCTTAGCGAACCCACGGACCCAAGCTCGCATTACACTGCGGACGCACTCACATACATTTACACATTATATATATTCATGCACACGCGTTTTTATGAGTGATACAATAAACATTTGAGGAAAAGTAAAAACAATTTAATGTAAAATAAGAAATATAAAAATAATAATTAGATTCAAATTAGAAAACGTATTTAATATCGAATAGAATAGCAAAAGTTTATTTTTTCATTTACATACTTTAATTATGTAAAAATAAATAATAATGCAATTCATATATAAAAGTTCAAGATAGAGCGGTCATCAATCTTCCCAGTCCAATAAATCGAGATAAACGATTACCAGGCGATCATACCTTGACGAATGATATTATACGTCAGAAATAAGGAAAACTGCCGTACTTTATGCATTTATGTATTACGTAGAGCGCGGGGAGTTCTTTTGGCGGAAAGGCGCTGCGGTTCTGCCATTCGAACGCGTCGATGAATAAAACAGCATCGCCGACCTCGCCAGACTCTTCGTTCGATCCACCTATATATTTTTTATTGTCCGACTCGGACGCGTTCCACGCATATATTCTGCATATGTTCAGATTTCTCTCCGCGTCGACGGTATTTTTTCATGTGAAATTTTACAATATAGCGGAAACAATGAAGTAGCGCATAACGCATGTCACTTGTCAGTTCATTCTGGATGGGTGTATCGCAAAAATTATATTGTTCATGTCGCAAACACAATAAAGCACGCTTAAGGGATACTTTGTTTAACTGTTAAATTAATCCGATATAAATTCACGAGATGTGTTTAATAAATCAATAGTTTCATTTTCATCGAGATTGACGATGACATAATTTCTACGTACGATAAAATTCGAGAAAATAAAGCAATATTAATATATGTATGCATTCGTTTTTATTACTTGGCTCTGAAAAAATTTGAAACATTTATATGTCGTGTTCGTGCATGGATGTTCGGTAATTCCTCCAAACATAGTGGTGATCTTGTTAAGTTCTTTAATGCTTTGTAGAAAACCGTAATACAATTTTAGAAAAGATTTTATCAGTAAAATTAGCAAAGGTGACGCATCATTGGTCGTGTTAATGTAAAAGATAATTGGCTGTTTTGCGAGTTTTAACGTCTTTAAGAGTTCACGCCGGATGTTTCTTCCGAGCACTCAGCTCCGCGTCTGGACTTATTTTACCGTTATGCTAAATATAGGATATGGCATACTCGAGAGCATTGTTTTTCCCTCAGCCAGACAAATAACAGTTAAGAGAGGAGTCGTTGTGTGATAGTGTACGAAACACACGGAATCGCGCTATTATGCGGGAAAGATTAAAATTTGAATTGTTACGGGTACAAATTTCTACGTTTGCGACGCATCCTAAGTGGCCGGATATTTCTAAACGGTAATAACGCAGCTTACTGATACAGATTATGGTGCATGTGTACTGTTATTAAACGATTCGTATTCGTATATAGCGTCCGTGTTAATCCGGTAATAGAAACTACGGTAATGTTGTCGACGAGCTTTTCGCAATTTATGCACTAATTTCATTAAATAAGACAACGATCGTAATATTGTTGCAAATTGTTTCCACCGACGAAAATGCATTATCGTGTAAATTACCACAGTATTGTAGCGTTATATTAATTCGCTACGAACTTCTTAATTGACACAAAAATAATATTCTGCATAAAACCACACAAGAGATTCAATTAGATGAAACTTTCATCCAGTATATATTTGGCAATCATTCGTTAATTACATATTAATGTGTTGACAAAAGAGATAAAAATTTATTACAACCGATATGTATCTGTATTGATTATTATATTTTATCTATACATCCACATATCACACATATTATATTTTATATCACACAATTAAAAGATTATCTTGTCAACAAAGCATGTAAGAAACGTACTATTTATCTCTAATAATCGTAAATTATCTCTAATTTACATATTTTTCATGATATATCGTTCTTTGGACATAGGCCATTTATGAATGCATATGTGTATAAGAAAAGTTGTTTTCTGCGTATCGTGAGGAATTATATAATGATTATCTATCTAGATTACTCGCATTTTTATATATTTAACAATATTTTATAAATACAATTAAAATAAGAATTATATGCCATAATTATATTGCTTTTATAAAAAATTCTAGATTATCATACACGCATCACGAATATAATTCAACAAATGAAAAGATAAGTTTATATGACTCCGTAGATCGATGCAATTAAAATTAATGGAAAATTGACTCCGTGACCACGTACGTAGTCACTTGCGGCAGATCTAGTAATGGTTCGTACGATCTTAGCAAACAGACCTTTCGTTTTCGCGGCCTTCGATTTTTTCACGTAACCCTTTAATACCATATCAAT